CCAAACCCTCAGATCCTGACAAAGACCCACCTCGGACGCTCCTCCTCTGTTCAGAGCTCCTCCCCAGGAGCCCCTCCCCAGGAGCCCCGCTGGAGCTAAAACTCCCCAGGACCCCAAAGCCCGCCCACATCCCCCACCCCACCCCCAGCTGGTGACTGGGAGCTCCAAGATAATGCCGTGCATCTCAGAACTCAGGTCTGCTGGAAGAGCTGGCTGGCGTGGGAGCTCCCAGGATGGGGTGTGCATTCATCCGGACAACAAGATTACTAGTTGAGTTCTCACTATGCATCAGGTTTAGGGGCAGCGGCTGGACTCACCCCGTGTCTGTGACCCCTTCAACATACAGGGCCGAGAGGTCCAGATGTGTGAAATCACTTGCCTGGGGTTCCCAGGTAGAAATGGCATGTCCGCCTTCACAGATGTCCATGAAGCGTCTGCATGCATGCAGACTGGCACACAGGAGCATGTAGTTAATACGTGCAGCAGAGATGGGAACCCAGGGTGGTCCGACCCTGAAGCTCATGCCCTTGACCACTAGACCATATCCTGTCCTTGAAGTAGAGGACTCCAGCAGATGGTAGAATAGGTTGAATTTGGAGTTTGTCTCTTAGGTACTAGGGAGTCATGGAAGGTGTTTGAGCAGGAAGAGTTGGCCTTAGGAGGGTGGGACCTTAACAGCAGCAGGAAGCCTGAGTCAAAAAGTCTAGCTCTGCCAACCCCAGATCCTCACTTCCTGGGACCCTCGTTTCTGCATCTTTGGGTAAGGGGATGGTGCAGGGGGTCTGAGGTTCTGCACAAACTCACTGCCATTGAGTCAGTTCCAACTCATAGAGACCCTATAGGAGAGAGTAGAACTGCCCCCTCACCCCCACCCTTGTGAGTTTCCACGACTGTAACTCTTCCCTGGAGTAGAGAAACCTCATCTTTCTCCCTCAGAGCAACCAATGATTGCAAACTGCTGACCTTGCACAAGCATAACCACTACGCCACCAGGGTTCCTCCGAGGTTCTGTATTCGGAGTTGTTCAATGTTTCTCTCAAAAGGTCAATGTGTGCACCGGTACAACTTTTGGGGAAAACAAATGGGTGACATGATCAAAAGTTTCAATGTGCCCTGAAGTCCCACAGTGTCTTTTAGGAACCCATTCCAGGAAACACATGTAGGCATAGGATGCATACAGGACGGGCTTCTAGTACCAACAGGGCACTGGTGGGAGGATTGGGGGGGCAGTCAGTTGGGGCAGGGCAGGGGTACCACTCCAGGAGGAAGGAAGCCAGAGAGCTTTGTGGCTGACAGGGGCAAGAAGCCTTAGATGCACGTGGCTGATGTGATTTTCAGCTACTGGAATGTAATTCTAAACATGCAGGCAGGTGTGTGTGTGTGTGTGTGTGCTGTAAAATTGACTGCAGATTCACTTGTTTGGCATTTTAGCATCTCTGAAATCAAGTTGTCTTACAATTAGCAGTAACTTAAAGCCTGTGACATACGAAGGGGTACCCCAAAAAAACTGGAAAGAAGCTCAGCTGGGCAGAAATTTTGTAGTACACATCCCCCCACCCCCCACCCCCACTAGGTGAGCATCAAGCAACTCTGAGTTAGTGCACCCAGCGGCCTCACCTGGGAAGCTTCTCTCTGGTCACAGTGATTTTTTTCCGTAAAAAGTTTTGCTCAAACCTCATTTTTTTGTGGTCACCAATTTAAGACAACAGCGTGCGAATGTGAAATTTTGTTTCCTGCTTGGGAAAAATGCCGCAGAAACTGTTGTGATGTTGAGCAAAACTTACAAGGACAGCACTATTGGAAAAACCCAAACGTATGAGTGGTTTTCTTGTTTCAAAAAGGGTGAAATGTCGATTGATGACAAACTTTGTTCTGGACATCCATCAACTTCCCGAAAGGGTGAATATGTCAACTTGTAGTGCATTTGGAGTTCATTCTACCAGGTCAGACTGTTAATCAAGCTTTCTATTTAGGGGTTCTGGAAAGATTGCTTAACAGTGTGCAACAAAAAAGGCCTGATTTATGGCAGTTTGATGACTGGTTTTGCCATCATGACAACGCACCTGCTCACGCAGCCATCTCAGTGCACCAATGTTTGGCAAAAAACAGCATGCCTCTCTTGCCCCTGACTCACCTGACCTTGCTCAAATGTGACTTCTTTTTGTTTCCTTGAATGAAGAGGGACATGAAAGGACAGCTATTTGAGGAAGTAGAAGAGGTGAAGAAAAAAATGGAGGGTGGTACTGTCAGCCATCCAAACAGATGAGCTTGAAAAATGTTTCCAAGAATGGAACGGCAGATTTGACAAATGTATAAAGTGTAATGGAGAGTATTTTGAAGGTGATAAGGTTGTTTTGTAAAAAAAAATTAAATACATAGCTTTGAAAAAAATTATGGTATTTTTTGGGTACCCCATCGTATACAACTCATAGGCTGATGAAGACATCCCACCCCTCCCCGCCCCATAACCACCACTTTCCCTGGACTTTCCTTTCTTATCAACTTTTCTATGTGGTTTTCTTTGTTTAAAACTTCAGTTATATTCTGTCTATATGACAATTTTAAGTACCTAGTTCTAATGATTTTATTTGCATGTGACCTAAGAATTTTCCACCAACACCATAGTATTAGAGTGTCAGGACTTTTTCCTCCAGGGGGGATGAGGAGGGAGGGAAGAAAGGGCATAAGGAAGGAAGGAAAGAGGGGAGCGAGGAAGAGAGGGAAGGAAGGCGAGAAAAAAAGGACAGGAAAATTCTGGAAGATTCTACCTGTTAACAGAGAACACACACTGAACAATCTGGAGGAGAAAACAACAGGACCGACAGTTCCGGGGGGACATGGGAGAGGGGGAGGTGGGGGGAAGGGAAGA